ATAAAAATAAATAAATAAAAATAAATAAATAAATCTCAAATAGTCCATTTTGCATTCCTATTTGCTGGGATGCTCCCTCCCCCCCCCCCCCCCACTAGCAGTGCCATCAAAGATGCTCTGATGACAGGTCATGGAGTCAATACCCATGCTAGGCAAAAGGATAAGTGAAGTCTGCCCTCTGATATGTAATATTATGTTCTGTTGTTGTAGATGTTCAGAAGCATAGCAACTGTTGGACTATTACATTCATCCTCTTTTATATTATGTTTACACTAGGCAGAAATCCAAGCAATTATCAATTTTGACATGTTGAAGTTGAACCTTAGTAATACAAACTAGAAATTGCACAATTTTGTTGATTACAAATTTATGGTGAGCTAACATGTAAGTTTATGCTAAAGAAATCAATAAGTTATCTCTGAGTTGAAAGAAATGTCTCTCTGGATTGTGTTAATATCCTGCCACATCCATTGTCTGAAACAGAAGTTAACTGAAAAGTTAAATTCAAGTGTAAATTTAGCTGAAAAGTCATCTGTTTGATTAGACATCCGTTTCTGTAAGGAATCGTCACAGACCATTTGTTGGCTATTCTGGGCATTCAGCTATGACAATCCAACATTTGGATGAAAGCTACTCCTGTGAATCTACTGTTTTGCTTTTGCTCCCTGACAAAAATGTTAGTTGCTTTGAGTGCTTCCCGAGTAAAAAGACAGGACATACATGAGTTTGCATATAATCAGATTTAGTAACATAATTGCCCCTCTCCCCCAGCACACATATACTTTTCTATCCAATGGAGCTACTCATTGTAGACTGTTTGACTCATCTCATTTTGAGTGATGTGTTACTATACTGAAAAGAATATTCATGAGAAGTAGTCAAAAATATATTTGTTTTTCAAGAATATGTGTTGTGAAAAAATATACCTTTAAAATGAATGAATGAATGAGTGAATGAATGAATGAATGAATGAATGAATGAATGAATGAAGATAATGCTGGCTGCTATATAAAGCTTTAAGTAGCAGGTTTATATATTTCATGTGCTGCACATATACCTGATGAATACAACTGAAATCAATAACCCAGCATGGAGTAGCAATGTCATTTATATTCAGAGTTTAGTACATTGGTGAGAACCAGTCAATTGGATTCTGTTCCCTGTGCCTCAATTAAGAGAACTTATTTTCCAATCATATTGGAAGCAGGGCTCCTTTCTGAAATCAATTATTGACTCTGCATAAAAATCAGTGGCACTGTTTGGTGCCTAAAAAAACAATCAGCTTTCTGATAGCAAAATAGTCAAATTAAATATGTTGGGCCATCATTAACTGAAGATGGGACTCCCAATGGGCAAGGATTTGGTTGAAAGGTGTGATAAATTAGCGAGAGAATAGAAACACAAATCTTCAGACAAGATTCTCATGGAAGCAGTCAATTGCATATATAATATACATTCCTGGGTCAATGAAATAATCTGCTTCGAAAATTAGAGAATTAAAACACAGATAATTAGCATTCTTTCTAACCTTTCTAAAATTGAAAGCAGACTCCAAAAATACCAAATGAAGTAATGATTTAAAAATGCCTGGAAGAAATAAAATATATCAATATATAAATATACACCTGCACAATGAGGCTTGCAAATTCCTATAAGCTTTTGGCATCTTTAGCAACTGTTGGAACCTACTGCTGATTGACATCACTCCCTCTCCCCTATTTTTTCTTAGTTCAATATTTGGAGCATTGCTGAAAATCTGGGACTATGAAGATAGCCTATTTAAACCTTATTTCAAAAAAATAGATGAAAAAAACATGGACTCTTCAAAAATAAATGAATTCAGAAGCTGATATTTATGTATAAGGCTGTACGTTACAACTGACCTATATTCTGTGTCTAGAATGCATGCTTGATGAAACTGGCAATGTGGATTGGTGTATCAAAGTAATGGAAGCCAAATTAAAAGGTAGAAAACAGGTCAAACTCATTCAGTTACTACGATTCAAAGGACACCTTAATTGACAGATAACATTGGTAAAGAGAACAGCAACATAAGTTCAATGAAAAATCTGAAGAAATAGGTTTTCTTCACCAGAAATTGAAAGCATAAAATCATCCACACCCTTAATATCTTAGCAGAGAGGCAATTCTGCTGTCATGCTATCTGCATTAAGAAGATCCATGATCACTGACTGGATATGTGTTAATTCAAAGACAAAATTCAAAGGCAAACAAATTACCCCTCATATTACATCTTTGGATACAATCATAAAATTGAGTCAAAATCATATTGAATTAACTCCTTGAATTGTACATTTGAATTGAATCATCTCTTGAAACTGAATCACAATTCAAATTAGATCTTGGCTGATTCACAGGTCCCTAATATCATTGCATTTGAACACCAAAACTGCAGCATGATAACTTAACCTTAACTACATTTACTATAAAGTCACCCACCTAGCTTTGTGCCTAAGGCAGGACTGAAAGTCATGATCTCTTGGTTTTTAGCCTGATGCCTTAATCACTATACCAAACTTCTCTTCAACAGCCTTCCTGATTTTTTTTTCTCTACCCCTCACCGGAAGAACTTTTAGAAGAACTGATGATGGGGTGGGGGGGCAAGTGTTGCCATATAAAATATATCTATTATACTACCTGCCAGAGATGAGGTAATTTCAATTTCTGGAAATAAGAACCATATCTTTGCCCTATCTATGCATGGAACAGTATATATTTAGTACACATCTTCTCTTTTTTCAGTTCCTGACCACAGTGCTTCCTTAAGGGCAGAGCAGCAAATGCAATATCAACACTGCTGTCCCATTATGAGGCTGTAAAAATGGTGTGAAGGCACTTTAACAAATTCAAGAAAGGACAGGATAAATTCTCAAAATGTGGAATTTTGTTAGGCTTCAGGATCCACATTTTTAACAGACAGTAGAATAGGAGTCTTTAAAAAAAAATAGCTTGTTACTTTTCCGCTGCAAGGAAGCAGGAGTTGTCATCCTAACAAAAATGCATTCAAAACTTCTGCAGATGCAGTCTGATTTGAGATGACACCAGACAGGGGAAGGAGCACTGCTACTTTTTGGTGCATACAGGAGCATGAGTGAGGTACTTGCTGGCAACTCATAAAGCATCAGACAGGTCCTGCATTGTGCACTATATGCATTTTGGCACAGCACTACCTGCAAGAAATAGCAACATTTCTCTGCGATATGTTCATCTTCACTTTGGTCCACCAATACCCCATAAGATTCTGATTATAGTTCTTAAGATCCTAACCTGAATATGTAAAACACAATGCTCTATTATATCCAGATTTCATGGCTCTTTGATGGTAATACATCACTGTATTTTATGGTAGTTCCCATCAGTGTAACAGATGGCAAGGCAATCATATTGTTGTTCAATATGACAAAGCATCAGAAAAAGAGTAAATTCATGTCCTCTAGCCTACTACATTGCGAGGACATTTTGATCTAAAGTTCATCAGCTATCATATTCCACAGTAAGTATCTGAATAACTGAACAGCAGCTCTTTTTGAAAGGTAGTGGGTAAAATTGTTGTTGTTGTTGTTTTTGTTGTTGTTGTTGTTGTTGTCAAACCTTCTCCCATCTTATTTTCAGAAATCCTAAGTCCACTATTGAAAGACGTAGAGAATGTATTTATTTCTTCATGTGTTCTATCTGGTTTCTCTTCAGATCATATATTTCATCTCAAGATGGCGTGCAAAGCATTGCTTTTTCCAAATTTTTCCCATAACAACATCTCTGTGAGGAAGGTTGGGGAGAGGGCTATCATGGCTAAGGATTGACTTGAATCTGGATCACCTTGATTCTAGTTCAACACTTGAGCCATAACATTAGACTGGCTCAGCCGGTCTATGCAAATTCTCCATCTTTGATTTCTGTTCTTTTAGTGTTTGGAAGCTAAAAAATAACTTGAATCTGGGGTGTTGGCAGACTGCCTTCCAGTTTCAAAGCCTTACCAACTTAACAGTAACTGTGGGGAGCAAATACTATATGCTAGTCTTTGCCAACCAGCAAATTTCAATGGTGAAGTCTGTTTTCTAACTTGACGTACTGTCCTTTTCTTCAACTTTTCAAATATTTCCCTGGTATGGCCTGAAACTACATGTTATCAGAAAAACAGAATAACTGTTGCATATGATTGGATTGCAAAACAAGAAAAAGAATGAAAGCAATTGTTACAATGCAAAGTGACTGTTAAAGTTTGGGCTCTGAACCTTATACACAAAGAAAGGGCTCCAGACCAGGCACTGCTTGGATATTTCATACTGTTCTTTATCTTCTGTCTTAGGAAACAAGAAAAATAAATGTGGAGGGTAAATTCTTTTCCAATTACTCTTAAAATAATGGTATAGTTCTCACTTAGACAGCATCACTGAAGCAATGAGCCTGAAACTGAGCAAACTCGGGGAGGCAGTGAAGGAC